AGACACTTGGGCTCATGGACTGTACACAGTTCAACTTTACTAAGTTTTGCCAAATTGTTCTCTAAGGCTTTGGTATCTAATTACACCCCCATTAGTAGTATATAAAACTTTGTATAGCTCCATATAACAGCCAATATTTTGAATTAGTAACTCTTACATCTTTGCCAATTTGATATGAAATGATATCTAATGTGGCTGCTGCTGCTGCTAAGTCGCTTCAGTCGTGTTCGACTCTGTGCGACCCCATAGACGGCAGCCCACCAGGCTCCTCCATCCCCAGGATTCTCCAGGCAAGAACACTGGAGTGGGTTGCCATTTCCTTCTCCAATCTAATGTGGCTTGATTTCTATTTCCCTGATTATTAGTGAAGCAAATTTTCATTTGCTTATTTATCATTGTACTTATCATTTTCTTATTGTACATTAATGTTTTCGTTTTACATTAGGGTTGCCATTATCTTCTCCCAAATTGTGGACTTTATCACAAAAGTATATAGTATACTTATAGTATATTTTGATAAATAGAAGTTTTAATTTTAATATAGTGAGTTTTATTGATCTTATCTTTTGACTGGTACTTTTCGTGATTTAAGAACTCCTTCCCTAACTCAAGGTCATTAAGTTGGTCACATTTATTTCTCCTAAGTTTAGTGCTTTGTTTCTTTATAATTGGGTCTTCAATTAGAACGTGAAGCAAGAATCCAATTTTATTTGTTTCCACATGAAAACATTACCATTACCATTTAACAAACAATCCTTCCCCTCCTCACTGATTCGTTATGCCAGCTCAGTCATATGTCAAGTTTTTACATATTTATGGGTCTGTTTCTGGTCTGTTTTATTCCATTAATGTTTTTTCCACCACAAAGCTAGTTCCTCACTGTTTTAATTATAGCTTTATAAGGAGACTTAAGACAGAAGCATCCCACTACACACACACACACCACACCAGTTTTATTTTTCTTTTTCAAAAGTGACTAGACCATATTTTTATGCAGAGGAACGACATCATCTGACTCATATTTTTAAAAAGGACTACCCTGACTGTTGTGCAAAGAATAATAATGACATCAGAGAGAGGGGAAAAAATTGCTAGAACTATGTCCTTGAATAGATGAAAGTGGATGACAACCAGTGGAAATAGGAAGGATTAGCTTTGCAGATCAGCATGCAAAGTCCATCCATGGTGATAAAGGCAGAATCTATGCCTGCAGATGTGTGGTGATGGGAATTTGGAAATTCTCTCCCGATTGCTTTAATCTTCTCAGTGAAGTCATCAGTTATGAGTGAAATGTTGAAGGTTTAAGAAGAAAGCAAATGGTATAGAATCACTGTTTGAGGGGAATAGGAAAATAAATGACTGACGAGGAATTACGGGTCCAGCTGAGATTTGTGGTCATTGATTTAAGTGAGAATGATGAACATGGCTGTGTGTCTACCAGCCACATACAGTGGTAGTGAGTTGGACTCAGTCAGGATTCTGGGTTTGCTAATTAAGGAAATAAAGCAAAAGATGGTAAAGGAGTTGAAAAGAGTGATTATAATGGTGGGCAAGCCGTCTAATCCAGGTAAAGAAGGGAGTGAAGACAAGTGAGTGAAAACCCTGAAAAGTGATAGGATTGATGGACTGGAAGGTCTGTGGGGTCAAAGGAATGTTGGGGTCCGTATACTAGGGAAAGAGAAGATGGAAAGCAGACGAAGAGAGTGGGATGCATGAAACTCATGTTATGAGAAGGTTTCCATTATTGGCAATTATACGGTCAAAGTTACAAGTGAGGCTGGCTTTATGGCATGCAACCTTATGCAGCCACGCAGGGCCTGACTCAGAGAGCCCTGTACTTGGTTATCAACCAAGTAGTTGTACTGCTGTTACCATCCCCAACTTCTTAATAACTTTTAAACAGGGACCCTAAATTTTCCTTTTTCTCTGGGCCCCACAAATTATGAGCCAATCCCGGTGATGAACATGGGAATGAGTGGGCAATGTAGGGGAAGACAAGATTATTGGAGGAGGTGGGTTCAAGGAATGGAGAAATTGGGGTGTTAAAGAATAGTCATCTTGTGAATTGAAATTGCCAACAATTTAGATAGGCATAGTACTGAAGGCAGTGACAGTGAGCGAGGAGCTAGAACCTAGAGAAATGAAAGACAATAACCCAGAGTTCAGGAGCGGTCATCAATAGAGACCTTTCGATTGGGCAGTAGGTGACATAATCTACACGAAACTCAAAGCTAGAGTTTGGAGACAGGAAACGACACTGAGATGCTACAGAAGCAAGACCTCTGGCCTCTCATCCAGGCCTGCAAGGAGAGGTTATGCAGGTAACAGCAGCATCCCTTTAGTGGAGTCCCAGAGAAGCAGGGTCCTTGGGACAGAGACTTTGCCAAAAAATGTCCGTCTAGCCAAGGCTATGGTTTTTCCAGTAGTTATGTATAGATGTGAGAGTGGGACTATAAAGAAAGCTGAGCACCAAAGAATTGATGCTTTTGAACTGTGGTGTTGGAGAAGACTCTTGAGAGTCCCTTGGACTGCAAGGAGATCCAACCAGTCCATCCTAAAGGAGATCAGTCCTGGGTGTTCATTGGAAGGACTGATGTTGAAGCTGAAGCTCCAATACTTTGGCCACCTGATGCGAAGAGGTGACTCACTTGAAAAGACCCTGATGCTGGGAAAGATTGAAGGCAGGAGGAGAAGGGGATGACAGAGGATGAGATGGTTGGATGGCATCACTGACTCAATGGACATGAGTTTGGGTGAACTCTGGGAGTTGGTGATGGACAGGGAGGCCTGGAGTTCTGTGGTCCATGGGGTTGCAAAGAGTCAGACATGACTGAGCAACTGAACTGAACTGGCTGGGACAGAGACAGTGTGTCCAGGTGTCCTTGGAGCAAGAGGGTGACAGGGATGGTCAGAGAAGAGGTTGAAGATAGAGGAGAATTTGATGATGGCAGACCCTGAGCACTAGAGAACACAGGAAGGATTTCATGGCTGGGAAGAAGGGGAAACAATAAGGCTGCACAAAGCCTTGCAGGATTAGGACACAGAGGGATAGACAACATGCAAGACTGGGATTCCTGCAATGACTAACAACAGGGATAGAGGACATGATGAGATGAGCTGAATGGATTCCAGGTGAGGGTGGAGGGAAGCCTGTGAGTGCTGGAGGATAAAGATGACTCCCTTGTCACCATGGTGAGGGGGGCAGAAGGCACCAGGGTCTTTTTACCTGTCTTAAGTGTAGATGCATGCTGAAAAATCATGTATCTTTTTTTAAAGTTTTATAAATGTCATCTATAAAGCAATAATTAGAATAAGCATTAAAACAAGTTTTTATGTTGACCCAATAATATTGTGGGCTTTCTAGATGGCTCAGATGGTAAAGAATCTGCCTGCAATGTGCAGGAGACCTGGGTTTGATCCCTGAGTTGGGAAGATCCCCTGGATAAAGGAATGGCAATATCCAGTATTCTTTCCTGGAGAATCCCAAGGACAGAGGAGCCTGGTGGGTTACAGTCCATGGGGTTGCAAAGAGTTGGACATGACTGAGCAACTAACACTAATAATATTGCAGCCATATGAAGTAGATACTAACCTCAATGCTCTGTAATCTCTTACAGTGCTTTTTTTGGATAAACATTTCAAAATAAATGCATATTGGTATTACAAGGTCAATAAATCAATTTCTTCTAAAGTTTTGCTGCAATTTGGTTTATTATTTCATTAAAAGTGCTTTGCAAAGAGTAAGACTATATCTGAGCAATGTCTGTCTTTCTAACTTGATAGTTAATATATGGCTTTTGGACTAATTAACACAGAACCTCCTTTTGTTTTATTCTTTCAAACTCCTCTAGTAAATATTTTCTTAGACTGATAATACAACAATTAACTAAAAATACAGTCATCTATTTAAGAATTTAATTTAGGCCATATGATAAATGAGTTTCAAGAAATCATGTGATCAACCAAAAGCAGTGTATGAACCTTGTTTGAATCCTGATTTGAACAAGATATCTGTGAAAAGATATTTGTGGGACCTCTTCCCAAGCAGTGGAATACTTTAATATGTCACATATAGACAAGGATTCATGTAAAAGGTTTTGTTGCTTATGTCATTCAGAGACACCCACTAGCTTATTCTGGCCTCAGGAAACACCACAAAAAGGATTGGGATTTGAAGTCAGTTAAAGCTTCCAGACAATTGGCAATGAACTGTAAGCAACTATCTGCCTTCCCAATTCAGTTGAAAGATGAGTCATCTGATTCCTTGGCGTGGGTGCAAGTGAAGGGGTGAGGAGCGATGAATCAGATCATTTGAATCTCATGTTAATATTTTTGATCCTCATTTTTTACATTTTAATATTTCTTGAGAATCAGAACATAGGTAACAACTGAGAGAGGCATTTAAGGGATGCATTTTTTTCTCTTTAAAAGCCGTTATTAAATTGATACGGTATCCTACAATTGATGGCATCTGGGAATTGAAGAAATATTGTAATGTATGCTATTTCTCGCTCTGGAAATTGTTCAGTTGGGTCTGTTATCTAAATTCTAGATAGATTACTCATCTAGTGGCTCCTGGTCCAATGAAGAATAAGAGCCTAACACACCACTTCCTTGCACATAATTCCTAACCTTCTCTATTTTAGTTACATTAACTGTCTGTAATGAGATAAATGACATTTCAATTAATAAACAACACAGGAATGGCTCAATGGTATTTTGCACAGTGTTTCAAGTAAGTGCTAAGTGAAAAAATTAGAGAGAAATACCAAGACAATGAAAATTCTAAATTTTCTCTCCTTATTCCCTTTGCTACAGCCCAGATTTCCATCAGAATAAAAAACCTCTCTTTCAAATTCCCACAGATGAGAAAGCCTGAAATGATCAGTTTCTTTTTGGGATTCTAGAATGACAAAGGCATTGCACACAAAATACAGTGATAGATGTTACTTGGATTTGCATATAAGAACATTGTGATTCACAGAGTCATCTTTCCACAGGTTCAAAAATTTTGTCTACACATACCGAATCTTCAAAGAGAAACATGGGTATTACAACATACAGGTAAGGACATATAAGAACTCCTGTAACAAAAACAACAAAAGCTGGGGGAGAAGAACCTGAAAACATCTCTGAGATGTGGCCATGTGGAGGCATTCTGCATTGGGAAGCACTGTGTAGAGCTGGAGTCAGATCAGCAGTTAACCTGGTCTCCCTTTAAGAGAAATAGGGACACACTAGAGTTGGGTTCAATTTTTTTTGTAAAAAAACAAACAAGGCTGTTTTCATAAATGTGAGGCACAGAGTTCCTCCAGGGTCAAATACACCAACCTGAACCCTATGTGAGCCTGCTGTCAAATCAGAAGACTAAACGGTAGGCCGGGTGCAAAGGGAAGGCGGGGAGAGCTCCGAATGTTAGGGAGTCGGGGGGTGTGCCATACCTGGATGAAAATACAAAAGGAAGCGTCAGTTATCTGGCAATTTTGGGGATTTTGTTAATGTGTCTGGTTTACTGAGCGCTGAGCATAAAAAACCTTTTTTCTTTCAAAGTTACTTCTCTGGCAGCAAGTAGAGTATAATGAACGTCATTGAATCTTTAATTGCTACCATAAGTAGTATATAATCTGAAATAATCTTTCTGAAATACTTGCAAAATGGTTAAGCAGATTTTTTACTTCAAGAATTCTCAGAATCTTTGATATGCTAATGTGCCCTGTGACTATCTGAGATTTGAATATACAATGATCCCCAGATACACACACACACATAGAATTTATTCTTTGAAACAAAGGACATTGTTGAGGCAATTGACAAACTTTTGAATAAGATCTATAGATTAGTAAACAGTATCATATCAAGATTAACTTCCTCATTTTAGTCTGGTTATGTAATATTCTTGCTTTTTAGGAAGTAGGAAGTATTTAGGTTAAAGGGATGTCATGTCAGTAACTTTCATATATTTTTTTAAAAAAGGATAATATATGTACATTTGTATATTTAGAAAGTGAGAGGATGAAAGGCAAATACAATAAAATGCTAACCTTTGGGGTGCAGCTGAAGGATATACATGGAAATTTAAAGAACATTTTTGAAACTTTTAAAGCAACTCATTTTAAAACATTTATTTCTTTGTTGTGCATATTTTGGGAAATTCTGGATAATTCCTTAACACCCCATTTTGTCTCTTGTCTGGACAAAACAGAGAGGCATCCGCATCTGTTATAACAGACGCAGGGGTGTTTCATGAGAAGCAGCTCTAAATTAGGGCCAGTGCTAGATGCTGCCTTGGGCTGACCCAACAGCCTTTCGTGAAGCTGACTTCCATCTCAGCCTGAGGTTGACACACTGCAGGTCCCAGAGCTTTCCCATCACCACCCCTCTCTGCAGACCAACACCTTGGCCCCCTGAGAACCACAGTGATCATCAAGAGACACAACTACATAAGAACTGAGGAAGCTTTTGTGTTTTTAAATTATTTCTGTAAGATTATAGTAGAGGGGCTTCCCAGGAGTTCAGGTGGTTAAGACATTGCCTTCCAACGCAGGCAGTACATGTGTGACCCCTGGTTGAGGAACTAAAATCCCGTATGCTTCATGGCCAAACGCCAAAACATAAAACAGATGCAATATTGTAACAAATCCAATAAAAACTTTAAAAATGGTCCACATCAAAAAAAAAAGTGAAAGCATTATTTTTTTTAAAAAATGACTAGGAAGTTGTACTTTGCTTATAGCTGGTAAACAGAAAACAACTGTTCATAATTTTACCTGAATCATGCTGACATTTCCATTTTCGATTTAAATCCGGACATTTTGGTCTTATTTTCCTCTCACGGAGGTTCTGAATTCTAGTATGTAGGCTTTTGTGGGGTTGGTTTTTTTGTTTTTTTTTTTGGCTATGTGGCTTGCAAGATCTTAATTCCTTGATCAGGCATTGAACCCAGGACCAGGCAGGGACAGCACCAATTCCTAACCCTGAACCACCATCAAGTATAGAAATTGCATATTTTGCATTTCCCATTGAAGTCCGCAGGCATTAGTCACTTACACACTCACATAAGCTCTTAGAGGGGTTAGCCTCCACAGGATACCTCCAACAGCTGCCCCCAAATTGCCATGGATGGGAACTCACTCAATACTGCAGACTCACTCAATACCCAGACCCTTGATTGTTAATCGTCTTAACTCGCAGGAGCTCAAGCCAGAGCTCTGTTTTTAAAGGGAAGGTTTCTGTGTTTTGTGTGTGGTGTGCGCTCCCACACATGAGATGCCAGCCACATGTTTTCAGTTCGCGGCTCAGAGGCAGCCCTGAAAACCACTGTTGTGAGAAGTGTCACCTCTCACACATAGTTGCATGGTGATGAGTGCTCTCCTTCTTGCATTTTTTGCAGACCGTGGAAGGTGTTAAACGAGAGATCTTTCCAAACCTAAAGGAACTGATCTCCAAGTTTGAAAAGCCAAATCAAGGACTGGTGTTTCACCTTGTAAAGCCAATAAAGAGAACCAGATCCTCCCTGAGATGGAGAAGATCGAAGATAGAGTTGGATGGTATTTATGGTAAAAACTTTCCTAGGGGGGCCAGACAAGAGCCTTAGTCCCACTTCTACTACCGCCCTACTGGGTAGAATCCATACAGATAACTGCTCCTTTCTATGATGTTAGCTCTAAAAAGCTTCATCCTGCGAACAGCATTTTCTATCTTGGGGAGCAGAGCCTTCATGATTCTGGTGGTGGCAAATGCACAGAGCACTCTGTGCTCGGGCAGCCCAGGGGGAAGAGGGTTCCTGGGAATTCCGTGAGCCGACTTCAAACTCACCCTGTGACCTTGTGCCAATCACATATTTGGGAAGAGATGGCCAAAAAGCAGAATTTTCAACTGAGAAAATTGCTTCAACTTCCTTCTCCAAGCCTCATCCTGTTACATTTTGTTCAATATTTGCTAAGCATTCATTTATGTAATGTTAGTGGACAAATGGGGCTTCCCCGGTGGTGCTAGTGGTAAAGAACCTGCCTGCCATTGCAGGAGACGTAAGAGATGTGGGTTTGATCCCCAGATCTGTAAGATCCCATGGAGGAAGGCATGACAACCCACTCCAGTGTTCTTGCCTGGAGAATCCCGGGAACAGAGGAGCCTGGCAGGCAACAGTCCATGGGGTGGCACAGAGTCAGACACGACTGGAGTGCCTTAGCAGGGAGCAGGGGCTAATTATTTCAGATACACCCCAAGAGTTATTAAGCCATGGTGGGAAATGAGATTGCAGAGGATCAGTAAATCTGAGTGCACAGGATCCAGGTCCTATCCCAAGCAACTACTCTTGTGTACACCCCTTGAAATCTGTTCGCAGAAAAGAATCTTGTATCAGTCACAACATAGTTGGAACTTAGCTCAGACTTCCTGAGACATTTACAGTTTAACCCTGTTTTCTCAAGGTGGGATGCATGGTCAGAGCCCCATTCAAAGGACTTCAGTCCTCAGTGGGCAGGTGACTCACTGGGAGCAGCGTGCTAGCTAGGGAGCACGGTGGGGAACAGAGGGTTCCGAGAAGTCTGCAGTCACCCCACACCCACTGTACTCTGCCTACAGGCATGCTGACCTTTAGACTGCCCGAGCAAGCTTCTCGCCTCCCCAAGACTAGGCACATTTTTTTTAATTATAAGAAAACAGCACTCCTCTCCCATTGTTTCCCTGTCCCCCTGCCCCAGGCAGAGGCGTGTGTACCCTGTCACAGAGTTGCTTGCTATAGTTGCTGCCGATGTGGTCCCATGGCCATTTTCTACCATAACTTACAGAAAAAAATAAAAATACAAAGAACAAAAGCGGGGCAGAGGAGAAAACTAGGAACGTACCTGTGCTGCAGTCCTTAGGCAAACCCTGATGAACTGCTCGGGTGCTTGAGGGCGGCAGTAGTATTTGTCTCGGGGATAGTAAAATAACCACAAATCCCAAGAGGAGAACCCTTTGGAGTTCATTCCAAGAATTGAGCGAGAGTCTCGCCACACCAGTTGTCCAAGCTCAGGCAGCCTTGGCAGGACGAGCTCCCAAGTCCTCAGCCATCGAGGGGGAAGGAACTTCCTCGGAGCGGCTCATCTTCTGCCCCATCCCCGTGGCCACCTCAGAACAAGCCTCAGATGTTCCTACTCTCAGAGGGCACAGGTTCTCTGCTGCTGAGTGGAGGCGTCTGGTGCTGGAAACTGATACTTGACTTATAAACAGGCCCCCTATTTGGCCAGGAGAGCTCCCTGTGGTACCCCAGCCCTTGAAGATGCTTGATGTGGCATCAAGACCGCCCTGTGCCTGGGCAGTGGGCTTCTTTCCTGCGAGAGGTATTGGTCAGGGTGACTCCTGGGTGGGGAGCCTCACGGCTGATCTCCTTGTCTCCCCAGAGAACGGTGCCAGTGACTATGTGGATGTCCTGCCTTGAAGGTATGGAGACTGGATAAAGCACTTATAGAAGAGATGGGTGACAGCTCTCGCCAGTGATCCTGCTTCTCCTGCAGGTGGGGGTCTGGAAGACCAAACTCTACGGGACAATTTAGACTCTCCTGGTCTCAGTTACTGAAGATGTTTTGATCATCAGCCTCAGAGAAATCAGTCCCCTTGCCCTGCCTCCCATGCATACAACACGAGGAGCTTCAAAACCCCATTGCCGCTCCCACTGTTCTTTCTTGGAATACGACTGCCTGAACCTGTTCTCTGACTTGTTAAAGGTGCTACCAGCACAACACAGTTGACATCTGGTCATCTTTCGACCAGGTGACCAGAGGGGAGAGAAGACAGCGCTGGTGTCTACTTTGGAGCCTGAGTTCCAGTAATGACAATGTGGCTGCAGACAAACCTCTTCCTCTTTCTAGGTCTCTGTTCCTTCATCTAAAAAACAATTGGCTGGGCAGAGGACAGACAACAGCCCAGCCTCCCTGCTGAGGCTGGTTGAGGCAAGTGGTGTTGGGGGGCTCCTGAGTTATGGACCTGTATACTGGACCTCAGACTCCCAAAACAGCCCACACAGGCTCTGCACCTGCCCATGCTCGTCTTGGTGATGGGGGGGAGCCCAGACTCACTCATGCACCCTTCTCCCCCGAGCCTGGGAGACCCGCCTCCTTTCTGATCTCGATCCCTGCCAAACGTTGCCCTGGAGACACTTCCTCTTTGATTCTGCCTCATTTCATTTATGCACTAACCACTTCAACAGCGGCAATGCGGTTCTGCATTGTGACATACGTGGGGATTTTGAAGGTGTGTTTCCTGATTCTGACTAGGCTTTAAAGTGTGGTTGAGTCTCCCCATGAATCCTCCACAGCACACAGAAATGCATGATGCACAAAACTGTGACCCATTGAGAGACATTACTGACTAGGAGCCCATTCCCGAAGGGTTTGTCACCTTGGTTCTAAGGCCCTTTGTATTTTTCTGCTAGTTCTAAATTTTAAATTAAAGACCTGCTTAGTGTGGAACGTACCACATGCTATGCCCATTCTCTGATCCATCTTCAAACCTTAGTGATTCATTTCACCCCACTGACCTTACCTTTTAAAGTTATTAAAAAGAGGAACTTGGAATTCTGGGAAACAAGAATAGACATTTTGGTTGGAACCCCAAAAGCATGAGCCATTCTGACTTCCTGGGTCACAGCAAACCATAGTAGAGAAGAAGGGAACTGCAGGAGTCACGTCAGCATCCTTCTGGTTGGTTCAGTAAAGGACACCAGAAGCAAACCTGCTCTCCAGGGTTCGGGCCTGGGTCTTTGATTCATTCTGCATGGTACAAAGAAGCAGGTTCCAGTTATCTGGGACTGCAGCAATCCTTGGCACAGAAAACATGGTCAGTGGCAATTTCCTGAATAAATCAATATATATGAAATGTGATCACTCATTCTGGATAGCAAAGATTTGTTTGAACTCTATACATCTCAAAATCAAGTAGAACATGATTATTACTTCAAAATCTTTCCATTATAACTCTCATAGAAGTGATTTCCTTTTTTCCTGAGCATCTATGCATAGCACCTTACGAGAAGCTTGATCCCTGGTGGAATTTCAGCCATATTTCTCAAACGAGCAAGCCACATTTAATAGTGGTTATGGATGTCATTGCATATTTCCCTGAAACCTAGAAGACCCTGAACAGGTCATATGAAGAACAGCTGAAAGATCTGAGTATGTGGGACTGGAAGGGGGAAGACAATAAACTACAGCAGCTGTTTCAATGTTGGCAGTGCCATTCTATGAAAGAGGGTGAACAGAAGATTCACTGGGTATGATGCCAGACAGAAGAACTCAGACCAGTGGCTGGGTGTTTACAGGAGGGCAGTGTTAGCCAAACGTAGGAAGAACTCAATGTCGGAAGAACTCGGAGCCGACTGGAGCTATCCTACATTCAAACAGTCCCCCGCCTTCTGGGGTCCAAATGATTTAGTTACGGAGAGTTGAATTAATCACGTTATTTAACTCTTAACTCATTATCACTGTCCATCCATATAAGACACATTCATTTTTCTTCCCTTCATCCCTCATTCCCGTTCCGATGGAACCAGCTCCGTACCATGCCTTTGTATCTATGGGCTTCCCTGGGGGCTCAGATGGTAAAGAATCTGCCTGCAATGGCAGGAGACCCAGGTTCAATCCCTGGATCAGGAAGATCCCCTGGAGGAGGAAATGGCTACCCACTCCAGTATTCTCGCCTGGAGAATTCCATGGATATAGGGGCCTGGCGGGTTACAGTCCATGGGGTCACAAAGAGTCAGACACAGCTAAGCAACTAACACTTTTTTTCACTTTACTTAACATGTATGCACTCTCGTAGAATGTACAGATTTGGTTGAGACTGTATATCTCTTATATTTACATACATGATATAGTGCTATTGCTCCAATTGTTATTAATTTTTTTTTCACTCGATATTATGATTAGTTCTATTCCTTACTATTGAGTGTACATCTAACCCAGTGCCTCTAACTAATGCATGGCATTCCACAGCATGCATCCATCACATTTTGTTTTCTCATCTCTCTAGAGGCAGACATCTAACTTGGTTCCAACTCCCTGCTACTACGACAACACTGTAATGAACAGCCTCTCTTTATGGACATGTAAGAGGCTTCCTCTGGACTATATGGGTGGGTCACAAAGTGTATTCAGATTTAATTACGGTATAATCAAGCCCATTAAGTGCTTTTTTGCTTGCTTTGTGATTTTTGATCCCTGTTTTATGAGCTCTTCCCTACTCCAAGCGTCTACGGGCCTTATACTTTTACCTTCTATGCTAAGGGTTTTAACGACGGCAGGGACTTTTGCCTTTTTCAGTGGCATATATCCTGTGTTAGAAAAGTCCTTCACTCCTAGTAGATGCTCAATAAATATTTATTGAGTAAAGGATGAATCTGGGGTTCACCTTTGTCCATGGTGAGAGGTAAGAATCCAACTTTGTATTTTTCCATATATATTGAAGTAGTCTTCTGATTTCTTCCTGCTTAGTAATCCATTTTCCCTCCTCCAGTTTATGGTTTATGGTTTCTTCTTTATAGCACAACTGTTCTAATACTCTGGCTTTGTAGTTGTCTGTTAGGATAAGCACTCACTTTTTAAAATCATTTTAGCTATTTGTGGACCTTGATTCCTCCACAGACATTTTAGAATAAATAAGTTTCTCAAAACATCTTGCTGGAATTTTGAGTAAACTTGCAGTTGGGGGAGAACTGAAATTCTTGTGATGTTTTCCCATGTATAAAATGCTACTCTATTTATTCATGCCAGCTTTTTTGCTCTTTAATGAAATCATAAATTTTCAATGTGGAAGTATTGTAAATTCTGTTAGGTTAATTCCTATTTTTAGTTGTTATAACTTTAAGTCATATATTTTATTACATTTCTAATAGACTATGACAGTAGCAAACTGTTTATGCTCTTGTTAGATGTCCTGGTTTATCTGTTGATTCTACTGTAAATTAAACTATAAATTCTATATAAATGATTTTGTCAACTACAAATGATAGCATTTTGTTCTCCTTCCTTTCAACACTTAATGTATTTTATATGTTTACTTGATTGGCTAGGACCTCTAGTATACATTAAATACCAATCAGAATGTGAGCATTCTTGTGTTGTTCCCATATTGTAAGAAATACTTAGTCATCTTCTCCATTTATGCACAATGTTTGTTGTAGCCTTTAAGAAGGCTACTTTAGTTTTATCAGAAATGTTTTGAAATTTATTAAGTGATTTGCTTCTGTATCTACAGAGATATCTACCACATTCCTTTAATCCTCATTCCATCATAAAGGTAAATTACATTAAATTCTTAACATTATATCCTGCTTGTATTGCTTAACTTGATTATTTTACATTATTTTTAATAAATTGTTGGATTTGGTAAGTTATTTCATTTAAGATTTTTGTATTAAAACTTGTAAACCAAACAGAACCATAGTTTGTTGAATCGTGGTTATGCTAACCATGCAGAGTGGGTGAAGCAGTCTTTATCTTTTTCTATTTTTTTACAACAGCTTTTTAAGGAAAAGTCTATGTGTAGTTTGAAAGCTCATTAATACACTTACAAGAGTGAGTTTGAAGCTCTGAAGGATACGGCATCTTTTACATCTTTAAATACTGGGTTACAGAAAAGTTCATCAGGGTTTTTAGGAAAACACCCGAACAAACACTTTGGTCAAAACAGTATCTTTAATGTTCAATGGTTTATTCAATTATCTTGCCAAATTTGGCATTCTTTGTTTTTCCAGAAATTTTATAAATTTTGTCTAAGTTTTCTAAATTGTTGGCATATAGTTAATATTATTATTATTCTTTAAAACACATTGTGACCGTCATTATATCTTCTTCTTCACTATGTATTTTATTTGCATCTTACTCTTTTTACCAATCAGTTTTATGCATCTTAATTGTCTTTTTAAAGTCAGCTTTTAGTTTTAATTTTGTTACTGTTTTTTAGATTGGTATTCTATATTTCACTGATTTTTATCATCATTTTTCAGCTTATCTGGCTTATCTTCAATATTTATTGTTTTGTAATAAATGCATCTAAAAGCTATGAATTTATCTCATAGTACTACTTGACCTGTACCCCACAAATTTTAGCATGGTTTTTATTGCTGTTCAGGTCAAAGTATTTTTAATCGAAGAGAATAGTAGTTTGTAATTTTTTCAAACATGTACTTTAGCTTTCACTTGAGTATAGATTGCAAACTATATAGTATTAAATTTAACATAATTTGACTTGATTTCTGAGGCTTCATTGATGACCTGGTATATGTGAACATTTCGTTAGGAAAGAGTTGTTTTTTCCATCCATTTGAAAGCTATCTTCACCAATGCCACCAATGTATTCAAGATTATAGACCATATAAGACAAATATTTTTAAATTTTTATAGATGTTCTTATTTTTCATCTATTTGATCTATCAAAGAGAAAAGTCTCTCATTTTAACCCAATATATAATAGTTTAGTTTTCTAATTATAATAATTGACATATATTATATTGACATCTTCATAGTTCAGCTATTTTGAGGTTATATTTTTAGGTGTATATATTTTTAATAACTATTTTATCTTAATTTTTTTTTAAGTGTTTCTGTTTTTCTCAAAATTTTTGCTTTTAATTATATTTTATTATACTTAAATTGCTATCTTGACTTTCTCTTCATTCATACTTTTCAATATATAATTTTCCATCTCTTTGCTTTTAAGTTTTTTCATATCTTTTGTGTTAACCCTGTCTTCTATAGACAAATATTACTGGATGTAAATTTTTCCAATTTAAGTTTTTGTCCTTTTGTTTGGTAGGTTTGATACCCTTATATTTATTATAAACTGTTCTATTTGAGTTTATTTCTGCCACTGTCATGGGCTGAATGTTTTTGGCCTCCCGATGCCACGTGTTGAAGCTCTGACCCACAGTTTGATGGTATTTGGAGGTGGGGCCTTCAGGAAGTAACTGGGTTTAGGTAAGGTGATGGCCTCATAGGAGGTTCAGGGCCCTTGTAAGAAGAGGAAGACCAGGCACCAGAGCGCTCTCTCTACCTGCAAGCCCCAAGGAAAGGCCTTGTGAGGACATGGCAGGAAGGCGGCTGTAAGCACCGCAGGAAGCCATCCTCACCAGACACAGAATCTGCTGGGACCTTGACCTCGGACTTCCTACCCTGCAAGAAAGTCTAGTAAAATGTGCATTGTTTAACCCACTCAACCTATGGTATTGAATATTTTCTTACAGAAACCTGAGCTAAGAGAAAAATCTTACTCTATTCTTTCCATTTTCTATATATTTGTTTTCTTTTTTTTCTCCTTTAACCCTACTGATTCGAAAGCTCTATTAAAATTTTCTTTGGTGATGGTTATCCACAGCCTACTAAGAACCAGTATTTTTGCTTTTCTCTATAATTTTGTCACCTTTGTTAATCCCATCTCATTTCCTGATCTGAAATCTGAATTATTATTATCTACTCCTTTTGAGTCCCTCACCATTTATGTAACAGTAAAATTAACTGAATCAATTATTCATCCTTACTTCCTATGTACTTACAAACACATGGAACTCTTCTGAGTTCACGTCTTTTCTTACTGGAGTATTTCCTCCAAGAATAGTTTCAAAGATTTATTTGAGAAATAAATCTTTGCAGTCTTATATGCTTCATAATGGGCTTCCCATGTGACCCAGCAGTAAAGAATCCACCTGCAAATGGGTCGAGAAGATCCCTTGGAGTTGGAAATGGAAACCCACTCCAGTTTTCTGGCCTGGAAGATTTCCATGGACAGAGGAGCCTGGTGAGCTACAGTCCAGGGAGTCGTAAAGAGTTGGACATGACTGAGCGGGTGAGCACACACATACTTCATAATAGTGTTTATACTCATTCACATAATAGTTGAGCTGAATACACAGGCTTAGTGTCCTTTTCTTCCAAAAATATCAAACATTAAGCCATATTTTTTGTATCTAGGATTCTTATTGAGATGTCTGATGTCAACCTGATTCTCCTTTACAGCTCATCTTTTTTTTTCTGGAAACGGTAAAGGTGGTTTCTCTTTTGGACCCTACATTTTGCTATAAATGTGTCTGAGTTTTGCCTCCTCATCCTGTTTGAAGGTCTATATGCCATTGTATTAAAATTTTAATCTCTCTATACTTTTGGAGAACTCTCATTTTTTTTTTCAAAGATTTCCTCCCCTTCTATTTTTTCTCTCCTATGGAATTCCTAGTTAAAAAAAAAGTGTCATCTGTTTTATTTATCCTTTCACATACTACTTGTTGAATGATCTTAGGAAACTTACAAGACTTTTCAAAAGAGATAGTACTTACCTCTTAAATCTATGTTAACTTTTGTCATGAAAAAACTGTCCCTTAGAGAAACTAGTTGCCAGAAACGGCAATGCCTAAAGCCAGCCACAAGAGGTCAGACAACCACCAAGAAAACAGATACGGAGCTGAAGTTTTTGTTGTTTTAGCACTGCTATGGTAGCTACAAAAGGCGAAATATTCCTCTCATAATACTCATCTCTCATTTGAATGCTTAATCTCCAGGCTCAGTAACAGGATTAGTGCATGAGCCAGGCTTCCTTGAGTCTGCAATTTGAGATGCAGTAGAAATACTTCTGCCACTCCTGCTTGGAGTGC